TTTTCCTCCCTCACTTCATTCTAAGTGTCATTACATATTTTCATATTCTTCATGTTTTCAGAAATGTTTCTTTGTTTCTTTATACCCTCTGCCTTTATTACTTTTCTTATTTCTGTACCTTAATTATTCCTCCATATAATGATTTGTCATATTTTCACATTTTTTTATAGTTTTATCCTTCCGAAGGATTAGGTCCAGCCTTTTGGCCGCTGAGTCAATAGCCTTACCTCTTTAATGGATCAAACCCTGTTTAGCCTAGGTGTTCCGCCGTGGGCAAAATTGCTTTTATCCTAGTGTTAGGCCAAAAGAGTCGCCGTACTCTGTTTTAGGGTTTTCCGCCGTGAAATCCCTAATTTAACCCTATTTTAATTTTAATTAACATTTTTTTAACATAGAGATTGGAGTCTCTGAACAAACCTTGGCCACAGTTAAGACGTTTATAACCTCCCTTTTGAGGGGAACTACAGTTACTCTGATTCCATTCCCGTAAGGATATGTAGGCACAAGATGCGATGTCTTGCCGAGTAAACTTAAAATTAACCCCTAGGTCTTTTTTAATTTTCAATCCTTTGTATATACCCTAAAGCAAAATAATTAAGGAAATAAATAAAAAAAATAAACAAAAGGTTCCCGTAGAGTACTACGGAAGTTTAGGGTGCTAATACCTTCCCTAAATTTAACCAACCCCCGAACCTTAGATCTCTCCCTTTTAGGTTTTTCCTTTCTTTAACCTTTCCTTCGGATAAATCAAAGACCGGTTGTAAATGAATTAAGATTCAAGTTAATCAATAGTTTGACATCCAAATTTCACCGCAACATTCACCTTCTTTGAACTCTAGAAACAATACAGACTTGTCGAAACAATTAATATGAACATGGTTGAACTCTAACCAGTTCATTCTTAAGATAACATCAAGTTGACTTAACGGTAAGCAGACTAAGTCAATACCAAAGTCCTTACCATATATAGTCAAAGGGAAATTCAAATAAACCCACAAAATAGTCACCAAACCATTAACTAGGGCATCAATGACCATACTCCCAACCATATAAGACACTTTAAGATTCAACTTTCTAGCATAATCAAGAGATATGAACAAATGTGTCGCACCCATATCAATTATAGAAATCATAGAAACAACATTAATAAAGCACGTACCTTGAATTAAGTTATCAAGTCTAGTAGTCTTCGTTCGTCTCAAAGCAAAAAATTTCCCTCCGAACTAAGCTTTCTTTAGTTTTGGCACCGAGTACTAACGTGACATGGTTTTCCACAATTGAAGCAACCTAACACATTACTCTTACAATCAACAATACGGTGTCCTGGCTTCACACACTTGAAACATTTTTGACCAAAAATCTTGCGTTCACTACCATGATGACCCATCCATCCACAGCTAAAACATCTGACAGAAGCAGTAATACCTCATCCACTTGTCTCTTTTCCACCTTAAGCCTTCTGCTTCCATTTATTGGCTGGAGCGCCATAAGGTTTTCCATGGTTTTGATTTCCACTTTTATTATCACTAATACTTTTATAATGAGTAGATATACCACGACTATCTTAATCGTACACTTATTAACCAGCACAGAGAACTGACGAATCTCTTGGTACCTGAAAAATTGCTTGATCTCTGGATGCAAGCCACTCTCAAACTTGATACACTTTGAACTATCAAAACAATAATAAATAACATAACTTAACACAGAAGATTACATAACTTATCAAAACAAAAATAAATAACAAAACTTAGACACTACTATATAATTTTAGATGTTTCAATATCTTGATTATATCATCGGCAAATATAGAAATTGTCACATTAAATCTTGATAAGTCTTCAACTCAATGTTGTTGTATTTTATATTTCCTTCAGTATCAGTCTCTGGTGCACGAAACTTGATCTTACCTACCATTCTGTTTTCGGTGTGGAGTAGCAGATTATCCAATAAGGATCTCAGAACAGTGAGACTAGTGGTGTCCTCAAGATACAAATGTTATAAACGAATATTGAGATATTCTAAGATATTTGTTTAACAACACACAATCCCTATTTATAAAAGTTTGACTTCATAACTGTTGGTGCAACCACAACTATACACAATTATCGACAAAATTTCAACCATTAAAAACTATCCTATCGAATTTTTTATAGCCATTTAAAAGTCCAATAAACACATGACCTTTCCAAAATTTGATAAAAATATTTTTATTAAGAAAAACTAGTAGAAGACCTATGCGTCCGAACGGATAAAAGTATTTATATTTTAAATTATTTATTTAAAGTTGAATTAAAGTTAATGAAAAAATATTTTGTACATCACAATTGTATTAAATATACATTGAGAATAATATTTATAAATATTTTATTAGTTGAATTTAATTAATTGTGTCACGTGTCACTTCAAGTATTTAAATTATACTCTTAACATTATACATAACAATGTTAAGATTGTCTAACACCTATTTCATAATAGCAAACTATTATTAGATGGAGAAATAATCAATTATTCAATCATATACATAATAATGAAGATTTTAGAGATTTCATCATTGAAAACAAATATTTATATATAATTTCTTATTTGAATGTAACAGACTTTGTCCCGTGTTATTTTATAAAATATTCAAATTATATTTTCTACAATAAAGACAACTACAAATGTTAAATAATTTTATACATTTCAATTAAGATTGTTATCTTTACATTATCAATAATTTTATTTATATGTTATAATCATTTTTAATTAATAAATTTATTTATTTAATTAAGTTTTATTTATTTATTTTGTACGACACATTATACTTTGAGATTTGTGCCATAATATTTATTTAATTAAGTAATATTTTGTACGACACATTTTACTTTAATTGATTTATTTAAGATTTGCTCCCATTATACTTTGGTAGTGTTCCGGCCTGGGCCCGACCTCGGCAGGCCCAATATCACGTACGGCCCAACAGGCGAATCGGGCACTTCAGACACGTGCGTCCCCCGAGACGAGCAGAGGATGCCGCCGAAGACGAGCAGCGCTTCCAACAGCATCTCGTCGTCCCCTTTTACCAACCGGACAGAACCGACCCCGACGCATCAAAGCACGACCTTGGTTCCTCCCCTCCGCGGGGAGAACAACGCGCTCCGGGGAACCTCCCGAGCTCCCCTCCGCGGGGAGAATAACGTGCCCGGCGCGCGTTCTCCACGTGCTCCCCTCCGCGGGGACACGTCATCAACCAACTGCCCACCTCCGAAAGAGCAGGTCAAACCCACTTTCCGGAGATCTAGGAGCAGTTGGACTAGGGCGAAGACCACGTCCCGGTCTTCACTACGCCACGTAAGCCCTAGCAGTCATTAGGGTTGGACCTGGTCATCCAGCCCACCTCAAATGACCGTTGGCCCAGCGCTGGGGTCTCTCTATAAATACCCTCTTCCTCAAGAGGGTCAGGTATTACACATCTTGCCCTTTCTATACTTTTGCTTCCACTCTGCCCAGTTTCTTACTTTGCCATCAGAGTGTCTTGCAGGTACACCCCCCTTCTTCTCCTCATCACCGGTGAACAGGTAGCAGTCCAACAGCGTGTGGCCAGCCCGTGATCCCCTTCTGATCAGGTCAGATCAGGTAGTATAAATCATCTTATATTATATTCTACTCAATTATTTTTGCTTTTTAACCACTTATATGATAGTTATTTTACGTAGTATGATACATTGAGATTTGAAGTACTTATTCTATCAGTATATTTTGCATGATTAGTTTTGAAGTACTTCTTTCTAATGTTTGATTTTTTATTTCTCTTTCTCAAGCATGTATACATTCCCTTGCTATTTTACTAGTCTAACAATGGATAGTGTAAGTTATGTATTGGATATAGTTGTTGAATACAAGTTGGCTGTAAATTCTTTTATTCTTCATTTAATCAAGTTAACTTATCAGTGTGTTACAGCTTTATAATAATTTATATTTTATTCTCAAAAGTTAAATTTGACATTTTTTATTAACAGAATAGAGTCAGGGACTACTGCCTTTCTACATTCTGTAGCATGTATGTCCATGATGAGCCCTGACTTTAGACCAAAATTATCTATACGTGATTTCAAACAGCAGAGACAAATTGTTATGGAAAAATCTTGATAAACTAAACTACGTGATTGGCAATAACTTGTGATAATTTATGTTGCTTAAATATCAATTTACTGTTGTCATTTTTACAAATTTAAAAATGCAAAATAGGGGAATGTTATTTTTTTATACTGTTACTCTATTGATGTTAAGTTCTCTGTAGTTGATGTTGTGCTTACGTTCTCTGATTTTGATGAAGATATGCATAAATAGAAGCATTCAAATTGTCTATGCCAAAGATGACTGAAGTTTTTGGCTAGTACTCTCCTGTCATGGCCGAGTTTTCAAAGGTTATACAAATCAAATGTTTGCTATTGACTATTTATTACAAAGTGTTTCTAAATAGACACAAACACATATATCAGACACGACACCACCAACAAATATCAGGACCAACAAATATCAGGGTCAAACACTAATGTAAATTGAACTAGTCAATCTTTGACTTGGTGGGAAAAATTAAATTGAGAATGGTTAAACGCGGTTGTACCATACGTCGAAACTTTGCCTGCACATTGCTAGTGTCGTATTACTTAACTTGCAAATACAAACACAGTAAAATGTTTATTTATAAAAAGAAAATTGCATTAAAAAATAAGGAAAAGTAGTCTTTTATTTTATTGGACCTATTCCTAATCAAAAGTCACATCGCACAACCGTCCTCGCTAAAAAATCAAAAGAAAATATCATTAAGAAATACTTATTGGAAAAAGAAAATTGCATAACTAGTCTTTTATTTTATTTGACTAATTATTAATTACACACCGCCGTTCAGAAAACACACATGCAATATCAGACTATATATACCCCCAATTATGTACTTGGATCTTACACAAATCAATTATCTTACAAACCATATTTTTGGAGGATTCACAATTCACTCAACATTCTTCTCTTTCAAAAAAACATATATATAACAACAACATGGGTTCTGCTGCAATCAAAGTGTTTTTGATATTGGGGTTGTTGGCTACTTCATGCATAGCACAACAGGCTCCTGGGCCTGCACCCACACAATCATTATCACCCAATTCAGCACCTGCTCCATCACCCTCCACTAACACATCACCAGCACCCTCTCCTTCAACCACTTCCTCTCCAGCACCCTCTCCTTCACCCACTTCCTCTCCAGCACCCTCTCCGGCAACCCCTTCATCACCAACCCCAAACACTTCTTCTCCACCAGCACCCGGAACAAACGGTCCAGCATCAAACCCAGGAGAAGCTGAGGCACCCTCAGCTGCATTCTCAATCACCAATACCTTCGTTGCCGTTACTTCTATTGCTGGAATCTTCGTCTCCATGCTTTTAGCTTAGTTGCGTTTCTCTATAAACATGTTTTTTATTTTATTGGATTCTTGCTTTAGTCGGTTAGGAATTCGATTTATTTATTAATGATTATTTGATATTGTGATTGATCACTGGTGTATGTAGATGATGATGACTATGATATTATTGAATTCTTGTTTTTGTGTGTACGTACGTGTAATCACAAATTCCTTTGTTGTCGTTACTTCTCTGGCGGGAATCTTCCTCTCCATCCTTTTAGCTTAAATGTCTTTGTCTATAAATATATATTTTTTATTTTATTGAATTCTTGCCTTAGTCGGTTAGGAATTTGATTTATTTATTATTGATTATTTGTTTCTGTGATTGGTTACTCGTGTATGTAGATGATGACCGTGATTTTATTTCAGTGTACGTGTAATCATACATATAAAATAAAAATAGTTGTTGGAATAAGCCTACATGGTTTCCTCTACATGAGAGATATTGTATTACCTTTGCTTGATTCAGGACAGGTCACCGTACTGAAAAAAATGCCTATTGTGACACCCATTTATAGTGATGCTTTAATATCTGTCACTAAATGTTACTTTTATTTACAGTTGTTTTTCTTTATCACTAAAAATACATTAATGTTTTACCCAATAATAAATATAAATATATTCATGTTTTTTCTTCACACATAAAAAAAGATTTTACTATTCTCTCTCACCAAAAACCTAGCCGCCGCCACTTGTATGAACTGATCTTCGACTACCACGTCTTCCTCCTTTAATAGAAAAACAAATTTGATAGTCATATTCATCATGTACCTGTTTTTTTTAAAGAATCACCTTAATTGTTATTTCATGCTACCACCGTTGTACCTCTATCTTCTCCTTTTCTGGACACCATGTCCTCAATCAAAAAAACGATTATTATTTTCAAAACCCTCATACCTTGGTCTCTCTGATGAACTGAGTAGATCGCTGTTTTGAGCATCATCACCATCGGTCACCAACCCTCTGTTTCCGGCCGCCATAATGGATAAAAACTGAAGTCTTTTTCGTGCTCTCCTCCACACGACGTTGTTTCGCTCTCGTATTAGTTGTTTCCTCATCTATTAAGGTTTGTTCACCTCACGCTCATCAACTGTTCAATGAAATAAAATATATTATGTGGATATTTACTTTATAGAAGTGTAGAAGTAGGTAACTGAGTTGTTCTTTAAGAAAATTCTTTAGGTTATAATCTAATATATGTAATAAGTTATTGTGTGTGTTTTTTTACATTGGAAAATTCAACACTTGACCAGAAAAATTTCTTTAGGTGAAATGTGATGGAGAATTGTGCTCAGTTGGTAATGCCGCAACTGCGAAAAACACCTGGCGGAAAAAATAAAAGAGTCGCCACCGAACTTTATTTTTCCCGACGCAAGGAAAGGAAACGATCGAAAAAAACTTGAAGAAAGGGAGAAGACAAGGTCATCGCAACTAAATCTTGGGTTTGAGAGTCGGTTATGCGAGGGAAAGGTATTAGCACCCCCCCTCACGTCCTTTGTACTCAACGAGATCCACGCTTGTTGCCTAATCAAAGGGTGATTTATCTAAAAACTACTGCTAAACAGAAACGACAAGCAAGAACAACGTACAACAACATGCATTTTCTGAATAAAATAATTGTATAAATACGACAGCAGGCATGCTTCAACACAAACAACATGAACAAGCATCAATCATGAACAAGTATCAAGCAAAAATGGACATGCATTAACAATTAAACACGAATATTCTACAAGATTGCATCATCAAGAATTCAACAAGAACAACATGTTTTTCACATCAATTAAACAATTCCATCGATTAGCGACAAACGGAATCAGAACCAAATACGAGCATGCATCACAGGTCCAACAAGATAGTCATCAATAATCAACAATTAACATGATACAAATGAGCAAAACACATTGTCATTACATCAAGCAAGCAACATAAACATCTCAAAGCATTTATCAACAGAAACCAAAAGTCGCACGTCGAAGAATCGCATTCAAGCCATCAAGCATGATGAAATAGGTCAAAAACAGTCCACACAAATGCATCATATCAATCCATGAAGATTAAAAATGGAATGGAATCAAAACATGCTTGAAAACAACCAAAAATGGAATTCTGATCCAGTGTTAATCGATTAACCATTTGCAGTAGCAAACAAGTTAATCGATTAACCACTTGAAATTGGCTGAAAATACACTGGTTAATCGATTAACTAGTTTTGTACTACAATTGGTTAATCGATTAACAATACACCAGAAGCAGAAAATCAACAATTTAAAAGCACTTTTAGCAATTAATCATTTATGCAATAATCCAAATGATCATGTAATCAAATATGCACGAATTTAACACCAAAAGCCAGTGATCAAACATCAATCAAACTTATCCAAGCATTGAGATCACAAATCACATGGATCAAATCATCAAAATCAATTAAAATTGAGGATCTACATTTTGATTATCCAAATAAGCTCAAAACAGAAGTGGGTCTAGAAATAACCAACCTTTAAAGTTGAGAATTGCTTTGGTAAGTGTTGTTATACTGCAAACGATAAATCCAAGCTAGAAACTCAAGAAAACTTCAAGATCCAAGAGATTTCTTGCAAGAGAAGTGAAGAATGAGCCAAATAAGCAAAAGTTGATCCAAGAATCACTTAAAAGCTTGCTTCTAAAACCAGATCCAGATCCAAATGAAAATCAAATGATAAATTGAAGTTGGTGAAGATGAATGGTGGAGGTTAAGCTCTAGAATTCAAGGATTCTAATGAAGAATTCTTGAATCCAAAATGAATAGCTCTAGTGGATTTTTGAAATGTGAGAGAATTGAGAGAAAGTTGAGAGAATTTGAGATCAATGTGTAGGGAAATCAGAAAAATGAAGGTTCTTCTTGAGAGGTTTTGAGTGAATTAACTTAAATAGGATTTTGGTTAGAAGTGAAATTGTGGTTTGGAGTAAGGGTTTGAAAATTGGAATGGGATTAGGAATGGAGATTTTAAGGGAAATTGGATTGGCTTTGAAAGTAAATCAAAATTTGGAGTGATTCTAGATCTTTCTACGGATGCAAAACCAATTCACAAATGATCAAAATGGACCCCAAAAGTTGCAGCATTGAAAATGCACGTGTTTGAGCAAAAAAATACTTTAGTTATTCGATTAACCATTTGCTAGTGCAAATGGGTTAATGATTAACCCTTCACAAATTTGAAAAATTGCACCATTTAGAGGAAAACTTGCATACTCGCCCGTTTCCACCCGTTTTAAGCCATGTTAAGCCTCTGAAACTTGCCTTTTGATATTACACCTGTGAAAATGCCTGAGATAACCGGTGAACTGTCTGCTGTGCTAAAATTAACCTACTGAAAAAATAAAATTGGGCACTCGATTTCTGGGCAAAATAACTGGTGAAGCTTCTGATGCTTGCTACTCGAAAACTTGCAATAAAAGGAGACCTTGAGCCATAGAAACACCTTGATCCTATGTCTCAAGAACCAATGTCATGATATGCAAAAATGCAAAATGCAGAAACAAAAGCCAATTACGGTCAAAACGAAAGGGAAAATTTTGGGGTGCTACATGGAGATTGAACTTGAAAGGATGATAGCAAACGACTTTCAAACATTCAAGGTACACGGAGATTGAATACCAAGAGAATCCGAAAATTTGCAATCTGTGGGGAAGATAAAGATAACGGATACCAACCAAAAGCCGGGATAAAAACCAGAGAGTACCAACTAAAAGTTGGGATACAGGAAAGACAATGTACCAACCAAAAGTTGGAATAACAAAGGATACCAACCAAGAGTTGGAATAAGGCTACTAACCAAAAGTTCGAATAACCGGAACACCGACCGAAGGTTTTTGTGAGGAAAAAAATACCAACCAAAAGTCAGGATAAAGACTACTAACCAAGAGTTAGAATCACCGAAACACCGACTAAAGGTAAAATTGTGAGAAAAAATAACAACCAAAAGTCGGGATAAAGGCTACTAACCAAGAGTTAGAATCACCGAAACACCGACCAAAGGTGAATCCATGATGAAGGATACCAACCAAAAGGTGAGATAAAGGAAAAGTTTACCAAGAAAAACGGCGACTTCACTAGGGAGAGACCAACCAAGAGTTGGGATAACACCAAGATTACCAACCAAAAGTTGGAATACAACCAGAGAATACCAATCAAAAGTTGGAATAAAATCGAAGACTACTGTTGCGGTGAAAATCGGATGTCAAGCTGTTGAATGAACTTGAATCAGAAATCTTTCAATTCACAACCGTCTTTGATTTATCCGAAGGAAAGGTTAAAGAAAGAAAAACCTAATTTTCATCGTAAACACAATGTGGGGAGATCTAGGGTTCCGGGGTTAGTTATACCTAGGGAAGGTGTTAGCATCCTAAGCATCTGTAGTACTCTACAAGAACCTCTTGTTATATGCATTATTTGTTAATCTATCTGTTAGCTGCTAAAGGGTTGAAGGGAGACCTAAGGGGTTAGTCCTAAGTATACTCGCCAAGAAATCGCATCTTGTGCCTACGTATCCTGAAGGGAGTGGAATCAGAGTATTCTTAGTTCCCCTCAAAGGGGTGAGGAACTCTTGACAATGGTCAAGGTTCCAAGGGGAAGTAAGTATTCATAGTGAGACACTTACGTGGAGTGCGGCGACTCCAAGTCTAAAGTTTAAGTTGAAAGGTAGGTAAGTATCCACGGCGAAAACTTACATGGATTGCAGCGACTCCGATCCTAAGGCTAAGATAAGGGGAAGTAAGTAACCACGGCGGGCCACTTACATAGAGTACGGTGACTCTAATAGATTAAAATTCAAGTCGAATTCTCTCACGGGAGGAGAAGGGAACTTAATCGTAAGTTATCTAAAGTTGGAATGTCTAAGGGAACAAGGAGCTCACAAAAGTCAAGCAATCTACAGTCACTGAGCACAAGTGTTAGAATCAAGGTATGCATCAAGAAATTTATAAGAAATTAATCG